CAGATGAGGCCAACAGAGGAGGCCAACAGAGGAGGCCAACAGAGGAGACCAACAGAGGAGGCCAACAGAGGAGGCCAAGAGAGGAGGCAGTGAGGACTTCATAGGATTCGTCACGGCGGGGCTTAAATTAGCCGACATATGCAGCCGGTGACTGTTTTCACAGTTGCTGCGTTCATGTTTTCACGCTCTGAACCGAAGCTCAGCAGGTTTTCTGCTGTGAAAAAGGATTGAAAGACGAGTTGGAAACATTTGACACTTAAAACTGTGACTGGTGTCAGACTGGGAGGTCTGGGCTCGGGTCAGCAGTTCACAGGTTCTGACTTACAGAATCCTGGATTTATTCATCCCGACACGTTTTATTCTACTATGTATCTTCATAAAGACTCGGGTCTGAAACTGAAACAAATACTATCAGTTGTTTTTGTCCTGAAGGCTGGAACACTCCGTGCGAACGGAGTTTTATTCTGCGAGACATTAAAGCTCCGGATCCAAAAGCTAAAATTATTTCTACAAAAGTACAAAAAGTCACGATGACGTCATCATCTTCACGACCAGCTTCAGTCTATTTCCTCTCCCCGTCGTTGGCTGATGTTTTTATTTGACTAAAAATGTGCATTAAAGTCATTTCAGGCGTTTCTTATTCTCACCTTCTTCAGCTTGCCCAGCAGAGTCCCGATGTGCTCGTGTTGATCAGCCGAAGCCAAATCTTCGGCTGTTTTTCCGTCCTGAAAGGAAAGAGTCAATGAAAACGATCGCCTCGCAGCCTTGTCTTCAACCTTTTACCTGGAGAGACGTTTGTTGGAAAAGTCTCATTGATGGTGAGAAACTCAACAGAAGTTTCAACTGTTGAAACGACAAATCACCCATTTTACTCTTTTTGTTTGCAGAACTCTTCTGACTCATCTCAGTCTGGGACATTTAAACCGCTCTCGTCAAGGACAACATCAGAAAAGTGAATCAGACATGTGAGCACTTTAAGGCGTCCCGAAGCAGCTGCTGGAGGTTTAGGACGGAGCTGCAGACAAACACCAGACCATCCTCGCTGTTGCGGACGCTTCGAGACGACTGAGATGAAAAGATGAAAACCAGCCGAGGCTGCGCCGGATTCAAAGACGGAAACCAGGAAGAAAACAAGGATCATTCAGCAAAATATCACGTTTATTACGCATTTATTAAACCACTGAGAAACCTCACAGGGGAACCAGAAACCAGCGTGGCACCTCAGAGGAAGAACATGTCGTTTCTTTTACCGTATTTTCCGCCGTACACGTCGTACCGCCCTACTCATGAGTCCTAAAATGTCTAACAAAGTGGAAAAATCCATAAATATGTTGCTTCGCCGTATACGTCGCATCTTTTACGTGTCACCTCTGACAACCTGGAAATGTGGGCCGGTGTTGTGCAAAAAATCGATTGGCTACCAAAAGGCGACCGCGGGAGCGTGCACGGGAGGACTTTAACAAGAATTTAACAAGATTAACGCTTAAAAACAATTATTTATTTGCTCAAAATTATAGCAAAGGTGTGTCTCAGTCTAACTTTTCCTTAAAAAATGCACCTCAAAGGTCAAATCAGCTGCACTTCACCGGGGCGGCGCAGAGAAATGAAGCAGATTTGACGGTTGCTACAGGCGAGCTGGACGAAGGTGGCAGGCTATGGCAAGCTGAGTGAGTCATTAGTAGCCACTTTTACTTATTACATGACAACAGCATGCCATACTACTCGAGTGCCATCTAGAGGCTGAAAATGTTAGTAGGCAATATTTTCCATCAGAATGAATGAAAACAGTCGCATCTCAGCCAAAAATCGGTTTATAAATGTGGGAAAAACATAAATAAGTTGCTTCGGCGTATAAGTCGCACGGCATGTAAATTATGCAAAAAACTGCCACTTATAGGCCGAAAAATACGGTAGTTTTCCAACAGATGGAAGGTTTCTGCTCTCCTCCTGAACCCCATCACTTCCTGTTAGTTTGACCCATTTATTTGATTCAACCTTTATTTCTACAGGTTAGTCTCACGGAGCCACGAGGACCCATTTTCAAGCGAGACCAGTTTTAGACAGACAACATACAGAGTAAAACCCAAACGACCCAGAGGGTGTTCTGGAAACTCAATCAGAGAATCAAGAACATAACGAGCTGATTTAGAACAGCTGAGTCCTCCAGTCCAGAGCTCCAACATCAGATTTAAATCAAAGTCCTGCACCTGGCGGACCCGTCCTCGTCCTTCTCTGGTCTTTCAGCTTTAAATAAACCTGAAACCAGAACCAGAACCAGAGAGATTCTGGGTCAGAGTTCTGACTCACGTGTGTGACGGCGTCGATGTTGGCTCCGGCCAGGCAGAGGTGACGAACGACTTCGAGACTGCCGGTGTGCGCTGCCAGGTGGAGCGGGGTTCTGCCGCACTGAGGGGAAGAAGAAGAACCGTTCAGGGAACCGCAGAACCAGATCCAACCGGTCCTGCAGACCGTTGGACCACCCAGCCTCACTTCAGTGTCATTTATGACCCTTGTTTCGTCTCTCCAGAGCAGATAAGGATGAACAATGATCATTCTGAAGGTTTACAAGACTTTTTAAACCTCAAGACCGTTCCAGAACCTTCTGTGGGACCCTGACCCGGCCTTTCAGAACCACTGACCTACAGTTTCAGTTTCATCTGACTGGAGAAATATTGAAACGTGCCAGTGTTTCAGGAAGAATGAAGACATTTTGATTTGAAGCTACGATAAAACCAGACTCTTATTTTAGTGCTTGTGAGTTTTATTTTGAAACTCCAGTTTCAGTTCTCTTCCTGTTTCCTGTCAACTCTCTGAATCCACTTGAACATCAACGATCTGATTAGAGACGACATGAAGGATCTATGGGGTGGCCACGATGGAAGCATGGAAGAAAGAAAAGCATGCTGGGTAATACAGAAGACCCACAATCTGCTCGTCAAGGTGATGGTCAGTCCCTCAGGCAGAACCACAGAGCAAAAAGTAAGCCTCAGACCAACAGTCTGTGAAAAAACTAGAAGTCAGATCAAAGAACTTCTTGACCCATGAAGAGCAGAAGGTTCTGATGGTACCACAGGTTCTATTTGATGGTGCTCTCTTCTTTGGAAGAAGACAGAAAAACGCTAAAAGCAGGAAAATAAAAGCTGAAAGCAGCAGAAAAACAGCTGAAATATGTAGAAAAAGCCAAATGGAGCAGAAATAAGCAGCATAAGCTGAAAAAGGCAGAGAGGCTGAAAAGATCACAAAAAACTGAAATTAGCAAAGAAACTGAACTGAGCAGAAAGAAGCTGAAAGAAGCTAAAATGAAAGAAGCTGAAAGAAGCTAAAATGAGCAGTAAAAGTTTTAAATATCTCAAATTCATTTCTGATGAGGAGAAACGTGGCCGACACAGCTAAATATGTCAAAAAGTAAAAATTGCACAAACACCAAACATCACAGCAGGAACGTCCTGAATCAGCCGAACGTTTTAATTCATGAATTGTTGAAATAGCACAAAAAAAAATGAGTTATGTTATGAAAAACATACGGGAAAAAAGTATCTCAACGGTGAGAACGATTTAGAAACATTCAGAGTGTTGGTGTCAGATCTCTGAGCAGAACAAACCAAACATCAGGATTAAATCCAGATGATCCGTCCCCTCGGATTAGGTCTGTGTTTAGACAGACCTCTGTACCTTTGGGACGCCGTTTCTCTACTCAGAGACGGTTACTGATGTTGGGCCGGGTCGGAGCCAGGCTCTCAAAACACCAAACTAAGAATCACAACCGGAAGCTGTCCAGACGGATCCAGGTTTTTAGACCCCCAGGACTTGGACTCGGATCAGTTTTTCTTTAGCTGATTGGACCTGAGGGACAAACCGGACCCGAGGTTCTCGGAGCAGACAGATGATCAAACCGTCTCACCTTGTTGGGCAGGTCCAGGCTGGCCTTGGCGCTGCACAGCGCCATGACGACGGGCAGGTTTCCGTCCTTGCAGGCGATGTGGAGCGGCGTGTTGCCGTGGCGATCCTGCCGGTCCAGATGGCAGCTGTGACGGAGGAGGCAGCGAACCACGTCAACCTGACACCTCCGAACGGCCAGGTGGAGCGCCGTGTGGTCGTCCTGAGAGAGACACAGGACAGGACAGGACATGAGACCAGCGGGTCCACAAAGTGCAGGTCAGGACCCTGCTGTGGGTCAGGACCCTGCTGTGGGTCAGGACCCTGCTGTGGGTCAGGACCCTGCTGTGGGTTGGACCTGGGGTCTTTCTGGGTGTAGCTTGCATGTTCTTCTTGTGCTTGCGTGGGTTTTCTCGGGGTACTCCGGTTTCCTCCCACATACCAAAAACATGCATGTTAGTCTCCCTCCAGGTCCAGGCCTCCCGTGCTAAAGAGATCCGTGATCTCAATGGAATTTGTCTTGTTAAAAAAAGGTTAATAAATAAAATAATAAAATAAAATAAAATGTTCAAATTGTACATTTCTTGAGTAAAAACACTTTTTTTTCATGAGGATTTGTTTTGGGGCTTGAAACTGATTTAATTATGTCCTAATTTTACAAAATAAAAGTAAAAAATATAGAAATTAAAGGATGAATATAAAAAAAAAAAAAGAAATTTAACGCCAGCTCCAGCCTCATGTTTGTCCCAGCTTCCTCCGGTCTGTGCTTCCTCTTCCTCTGTGGTTTGATGCTCCTGACTGTGGTTCTGAGTGACCAAGGACTCAAGTGGACAGACGAGGACAGACGAGGACAGAACAGAGACTAACGAAGACGACAGAAACCTGATGATCAGCCTGAAACGTTGACGGCAGCGCCTCACCTTGTCTGTAGCTTCCACATCGGCTTGGTGCTCCACCAGACACTCCACGATGTCGGTGAAGCCTCGAGCCGACGCCGTCAGCAGCGGCGTCTCGCCCTCACGGTTCTTGGCGTCCACGTGGCACCCTGCATGGCACAGCGCTCTGGCCACGGCGGAGTAACCGTGCCAGGCTGCGCAGTGCAGCGGCGTCTCCTGCTCCTGGATACACACAAACACACCGGAGTCAAACCTCCGGCTTTTCTTCCTTCTGCTGCAGAGGGAGCAGGAACTCACCCGGTCCGACAGGTCTGGGTTGGCGCTGATGCTGCACAGGTAGCTCACCACGTCCACGTTGCCGTAACGCGCCGCGACGTGAAGAGCCGTTTCTCCACACTGGAGGAGGAAACAACAGTCAGGAGTCAAAGTTCTGCAGGTCTTTCTGGAGTGAAACGGTCTGAACAGAACGAAGACGATGAAGATGAAGCTCTGAGGAAGGGCAGTTTAAAACCTGTCAATCATTTAACGAGTCAGAAACTTTGCACTTAAGACATTAAGACCTGAGTTCTCCTCAGAAATGGATCCATCAGCTCTTTGTTTGCCAGGAAGCAGAAAGGGCTCGGTCCAGAACATCAGCAGAGACGCTTCATCAGAACACTTAGGACCACATCAAAGGATGAGGGCGGAGCCTGGAGTCTAGACGACCTCTGGTCTGCTGACTCCTTGGACAGGAACCAGATGGCCATCAGAAGGAGCCAGGAGTCCAGACGACCTCTGGTCTGCTGGATCCTTGGACAGGAACCAGATTGTCATCAGAAGGAGCCAGGAGTCCAGATGACCTCTGGTCTGCTGGATTCTTGGACAGGAA